AAATTCCAATGTCTATGTGACAGGAATGCGGTCGTCTCATTGTAAATTAGGTAAATTACATGCATTAGCAGCATTGTGTGACATCTTGTTATGGATGTGAATGTTCTGTTCTAATGTGTTTTATTTTATAAATATCTAAAATTATAGGTACACAGTAAAAGATTAAATGAGGTTAACCAGTTGTTTTAGATGATGTGAACGGTTTGATTGTTAGCATATTTCCTGTTAAGACAGTCATTGTTGGTATTCAATGATTGACTGGGTCCATGGCTACACTGGTGTCGGTTAACTGCAAATTTTGCTGACTTGAGAGTTTTTTGTTTTTCTCTCCTGAGATATCCATGACTGTTGGAACCTAAATTCTTTGTATATCCCCCTTACAATATACTGGAGCTGTTGAGTGGAGTTCCTGTGGTGTCATACAGTTTTAACCCAATGAGGTTCAGGAAAAGAATTGGCACCAAGTATCCATCCTTGTTGGAAGAGCTGGCTAAAACAGTCGTGTCGTTAGTCTCTTGAGTGAGATTGTAGCGTGATGATGTAATGGTACATCAATTAGTGTTTGGAATTGGTTAAAATCTCATAATTGATGATTGGTTTATTACAACCGATCAATCATTGAAAAAAATTGGTTAGCGTCATTAATGAAATCTGTTAATGCACTTAAAAATAAGGAAAAAACATGTAGATTTTTGGGTGTTTTGGGCAAAATTTCACTTCTTTAAAGAATAACTAGTATGTCAGGAACATCAATTTCTTGAAGTCTTTAAGATAAATTCAATCATGACTTGAAACGAGCTTATAGTGCTTATTAAATGTAACAGACAAAACCAACCTTGTGAAAAATATTGTTAATGAAAACAAGTGTTCCAGAATTGTTTTTGTTCGATTATGAGAAAACATGATCGATTACTTGGTTGTTTAGTCACTCTGAGCAATCTTCGATTATTTCAATTAATCGGACCACCACTAACATCAATACAGTATTGTATCATGATACAATGTTCCTAATGCAATACATCGATTACATCTGCATCGCAATATATGATTTATTACATAAGATATATTGATGTACTAACAAACAGTCAAAGAACATGTACATGCAGATGCTCTAGGTTGCTGGTTGGGTATAAATAGCAGTGTGCAGTGTCCCAAAGCTTATATATTATATACCTATATTATTGTATCCTGTCGCTGGCTGTCCATATCCTTACACCTTTGCTGATGAAAATTTTTCTTGCTGTCAGATACTGGCATATCATATACAGAGAAGGTTTTATAGCTTTAATATTACAGAAGCATTTTTTCTGACAAGAGGTTAAATATATCAGATGTTGTAAAAGTTAAAAGAAACTGATTATACTGTGAGCTATCTGCACCTATAGGTTTGGGAAACACAAATGGAATTGTCTAAGATGCTGCAGCATGTAGAGCACCATCTGTGCCATGAATTTGAATCCTAGGTTTGCACTGACGACCTTGGCCTTGCTTCATCCTGCAGGCAGCCTTTCCTTGGCGGCTATGTCCACCGTTTCTGTGTAAATTGCAATCCTGTTTCCTTCCCCTGGCACTAATCTAAAGCAATAAACAGCAATACCATCACACTTCCTGAAGGATAAATTCTGTTTTATCTCTAAAGTGTGAAGTTAGGTTAATTGTAACTGTGTCAGCTTCATTTGTTCCCGGGGCGGTGGGGTAGCCTAGTGGTAAAAGCGTTTGCTCATCACGCAGAAGACCCAGGTTTGATTCCCCACATGGGTACAATGTGTGAAGCCCATTTCTGGTGTCCCCTCCGTGATATTGCTGGACTATTGTTAAAAGTGGCATTAAAAGGACATGTTTTCCACTCTTACTTATGCCCAAATTTGGAAATAAGTTTTTCATGAAATTAGTTGCGTATTCTTGTCAGAACTAAGATTTGAAATTATTAAGTCAGTTGACCCCATGATATGTTTTAAGAGTGTTGGGGGCACTTGCGACTTTCTGTAGTGGCAAAGGTGACCCAGGAATTTAGGTCACCACAACTTGGTGTGCAGAGTTGCTTTTCTTTTCTGGGAAAGAAACTGTTGCTTATGATCCTTGAAGGGATTTATCTTCGATTCTAAAGTTATTGCCTCTGGCAGTCGAGATGCGAAAGATTATTATTTTACTAAATTCTGAGGTATTTTAACACTGAATTCAGTGAAGTAAGGTACAACTAAGAATTAAGGCACTTTTCTGTTTTGAGTGCCACAAGTTAGTTCTTCAAACCCAATAGAAGTTGGAGTGGTGAGGTAGCCTAGTGGTTAAAGTGTTCGCCCGTCATGTCGAAGACAGGGGTTCAATTCCTCACATGGATACATGTGAAGCCAATGTCTGGTGTCCCCCGCCGTGATATTGCTGGAATATTGCTAAAAGCGGTGTAAAACTAAACTCATAAACTCACTCAGTTATATAAGTTATTAATATCTTAACATTTTTGGGAACATCTTACCGAATAGACCCTCGGAGCAGATATATATATATATAAACTGTTGCCAGGGGATGTCGTGACTGTTCCCACTTAAAGGGCCACTGATCCAGAGCGATTAATGTTTCCCACCTTGGCAGAATTTCTTCAACCTAATCAGCAGGACATAAGGAAGGGTGGATGCCCATCAGATGCCGTTATTTGAAAATATCCCCTACAGTTCTTGTCTGATTGTAATAAAGTATCCCAGCAGCTTAGACTTTTTCAGATTTTCAAATGTTTGGATGGTATAGTGACTGATCCAATTTGATCCTATTTCTGTGTTTTTTAATCATGTAAAAATATTATGTCTATTACATATGCTATGATATCAAAAGCACACATTTGATATATTTGTAGTCTAAGTAAACTTAGGCTCAGTATTATTCGTTACACTGCTATACTGAGTCTAACAAAACCTTTTGGAAGGTCGCGTCAGGTAACCTTTTCAATTGACCAATCAGAACACAGCTTACCAAATCGCGAAAAGTTGACTTGAACTTTGAACTTTTTACCTCGAATTTTTTTTGTACCCGAACGATTCCGAATGCTATTTTCCGTACGATCGCTTCCGAGTGATGCACATGGAGCACGCCACAACAGTGAGTAAACAGTCGCAGAAAATAGCGTTTGTCAGTATTCAAGGGTGTCAGCTTGCGGAAATATTAGCTAATGATAACCATGTCATCAGAAACCCAAAAGCGTATATTCTGCAGGTCATATATCTGTGTTTTATGCGGGGTTTCATTTGTTGTGAGATCAGTGTTGGTGACCAGGGAAGAGAAAATCGCCGAACCGTTGTCTGATTGGTTAAATCCTTTTGGTCGTCTCGCGTTTGATTGGACGGTCATAGGTCGCTCAAAGGTTACCTGACGCGACCTTCCACAGTATAGCAGTGTAACGAATAATACTGAGCCTAAGTTTACTTAGACTGGATATATTTGAATCCATATTTTTAACTAAACAACCCCACTTTGCCATTGCTAAAAAAATCTGAAAATTTACATAGGTATATGCAGTTTTTAACTAAGTACATTGATTGATTGCTCATTATTGGCTACTAAATTACTTTTTAAAGAATGACGGACATCATGCAATTAGTTGCCAGGTGACCAATGGGATACACCAATGTGAAAAACCTGAAACGATAGATCACTTTTGCGCATATTGGACTGTTGAAAGACACATGACATGGAACAGGATTCTTTGTCAGCTGCAGATGAATGGCATCTCATTCCTTTATGTGGATATTGATGGATACATTCCTCGAACAAGGCAATAGCCTGATATTGTTGCTATAACTTTAGTGTGTTTTAATTTTAATATTTGCATTTTGTTTCTATTTATTTGTTATGGCATTCAACAAAATAATTTATTTATTTTTTGCTGTGAAGTGTAATGAGACAGACAACATACACTAGGTCGCACTTAGGGCGTCTGTGTGAAATATGATTCATGTTGGCAATCTATAAAATATCTAGATATTACAGTCATATTATAAATTCACTAAGTATAAGCAGATTGTGTGCATTTTATTAAATTTCAAAATGCATACAAATATGATAAACTAATTAGGATTATAAGACAAAATATAAAGACGTACATTGACTTCGTTATTTCAGTCCTAACATTTTTTACCACTGGCAGATGGTTAAACTTAAAATATTTTCATTTGTTATCAAAATAATGCCATTTAATACAACATTCAGATTGACTAGTAGTGAACCCAAGCTCACTACTCTCCCCAAGACTCCCCATGTACTTAGTTAGCCTTACTTTCAAACAATGGTATTAAATCAGGCTTCTCACCAAATTCAAGGTCAAACTATTTCTTAAATCAAATTCTACATCCATTTACGTTAATATTTTTATAAAGTCAACATTACTATGAAATTAAAATGTTACATCAAAATCAGCATTTTTATCAAAGTGAATATATTGGGGTTTTTAAGAAACCAAATTAATCATCACAGTCTACATAATTTTACAAAAAAATCAAGATTATCGAGTGAAAAAGATTTAATCTTTACAAAATTGACAAACTTTATAGATAACAACTTCTTTATTATGAGAGTGCGACAGTTCGATAGATTCTTGTACCGTTGTCAAGCAGGGACAACGGTACAAGAATCTGTATCGAAACGTCGCACTCTCGTAATAAAGAAATTGTTATCCATAATGTGTGTCAATTTTGTACTTCCCAGCTTCTAAAATGCCACTCAAAGAAGATTTAATCTTTGTTGATCAGTCTATAGTTATACTATCAATTTGCGCATGAGGGTGGCGCAGCAGATGTAACGAACCAGTCATGAATTCTGGGATATCATCCGGGTACTCACGGGAGAAAAACAATAACAAAAGCAACAACCAGTCCACGGAAATTGCTCTGGATCAGTGGTCCTTTAAGACGACCCAGTACAACAGGTTCTAGGTCACTCAGCCCACCTTGTCAGGTATTTGTCCCACTTAATCACTTTTTGTTCACCTTCTTAATCACTGTTCTACATTTCAGGGTGAAGGAGGCAAACCGGCTGAGTGTAAGCAGCAATAACCAGGTCATCATGGACGTATCTACAACAACATTTCTCTGAAGCACATGTGTCTTCTGCTGGTCCAACATTTCAGTCAAATTTACCTCAAGTTCTGTGAATATCAAGCTTTTCTAGAACCCTTGTGTGGCTTTTGCAGTTTTTCAACTATTTATGGCTAGATGAACAGAGGGTGATGATGAAAGCTAATACCATATGTAAAGGTGATCCTGATTGGAAAAGAATTGTAGGAATAAATATATGTCTTAATTTATCCGATTTATTGATAATATGCAACTAGTAAGTCCTCCCGTGCCAGTATTCTGAGTTTGTAGGCTTACAGCAAAAACGTGATGTTCACAAGACACATTTAGGTTGCTTTGACTTGAAAACGTGGGATCCTAGTCTGGATGGAAGAGTCCACTTCAGACAGAACATGCCTGAATACTGGTTGCCTCACTGAACACCCCTTGTTCAAAATGGAATGGACCTTGTGCATGCTTCGAGTTTCAGTCTGGACATTTCCGGAGGTGCATTGAATGTGTGCATACTATATCACGGACAACATATATTTTGGAATCTTCCACTGTAGATGGACTTTTCGAAAGGATTGACTACTTTACTGCTCATTAAAGGACCAGTGTCGATGTCGACTGGTTTCCATGGTTACGCTGTCGGTTGTGTCACAGCTTTTGCATTTAACTGTTTCTTTTATCATTCATAACACCTCTGTTGATCTTCTGTGTTTGGACATTTCTGAAATTCTGGTTTAGAATTCATGTTAATTGCTCAGAAGTCCCAAATCTCTTATCCCGTCAAAGTTGAAATTTTGATGTCCTAGTTACTGTTTGGTGTTAAATGTTGGCAAAGTGAGTTGCTAATTGTGCCAGGTCCAGTCATCTAGCTTGAACTGCTACTGGTTTAGACCTGTTAATGACTTGGGACTCAGCAGTTCAAGATGCTGCGAAGACTCTCTGGAACTTCAGCCTGTACTTAAAGACTTCAGCAATTTTTTGTGAATTCTATACTTCTAATACAGCTTTTTCATGTCGCAGTTTTTAATGTGAAAATGAAATAAACGCCTCTTATTTTCACAAGTATTTAGTATTTACTTGAGAGCATATTTTTCTAACGAATGAAACGATGAATGCAAGGTAAAGGTGTTGAAATTTCAGGATTGTTTTGATCTTTCATTTGAGATGCTGGCAATCCGAGAATGATATTAATTTAACAGACTTCTTCGAATCATCGAAGGAGTTATTGTTTTAAAGTCAGCATGTGATCTGTCATAAGTCAACGCAGTTATTAATGTCGGTGAAATGCAGGAAGACAGAGCATGATCAGTAGTTCCTTCCTACTTTTTGAATGGCTACTCTGGAATGGAAGCGTTGGGATTTTGAATTATGTCAAACCATGGTGAAGTGAAATGATGTAAATAAAATCCTGCTATTCCACCTTAGTCAATCCACAATTTAACCCAACAAGCCTTCCATGCCAAAAACCATGGCTGGCTGCTTAAGAAAATTCCCGTCATATTCGTCTCTATGAGCCATTGAACTTGACTGGGGTAGTGAGCTCGTTCAATCCCTTAATGATCAATTTTGTGGATGAAAATATCTGGATTTGAATACCCTTATATGGAGCTCAGACATTTTTAGCACATTTGATTTTGTAATATCACTACACCCAAAACCAAACTCTTCCTTATGAAATATGAAAATTGGTGATTCCTCTGAGGTAGCTTCAAAACAGCTGTCAGATTATCTACTATTGTCAAGGACAAAACGTGGACCATTGTATTTTCTTCTTTCAAAGAGATAAACATTCTATGCATGGAATTTCTGGGGCAGAATGAAGGAATGATGTTCTGTGTCTGTCATACGTCAGAGATGGATAAGCTGTCGCAGGATCATGTCATAAATTTTCTTTGTATTTAATGATGTTGGTGAAGTTATTAATCATATTTGTGCATTAAATTGTGGGCATTTTTTCATGTTGTGTGTTTGTACAGCTTTGTCAAACTTCATGATTTTATTATTTAAATTATTCACACAGCTCCACACATTCTGAATCAAGCCTTAAAATTTAGAGAATCTTCTTTTACTGAAAAACAGTCCAGAAAATATATTTTTCTTTTACTGGAAGAGGGAATCTACTGTTAAATTTTGTATTCTGTTTTCCTTGAAGCATTTTGTTTGCCGAGTTTGTAAACGTTAAATACAAGGTGTAAGATGATAGTGTTCAGTGAGGTTATGTCATGATGGGTGGAATATATTTTGAAAAAATATAAAATCTTTGTTTTTGTTGTGTGATGTTAAAAGAGTTCATCTCATAACAACTTTGGTTATATTTTTGCATCTCCCTGATGAAGTCCAGTATTTAATGTCTTGTTGAAAACCACATTTTCTGTGATATGATAATTGTAACTATTTTAAGCAGCAGGCACCCAAACTAACATGACATCCATTTGTCATATGCATTCTCAAATTTGGGCCCCTATTTTTGAACAACACCACAGGGATAAAGCTGCTAGCAAATTATGCATGATTTTTTGTAGTCTATACAAATCCATAATTATTTGTCGTAAATTGATTTTATGTAGTTTTCATTCTGGTTCACATAAAGTTATTTCTGTATAGTTTATTTTAGTGTGGATGTTTTATATAAAAAAGGAAAACAAACCTATCTTTGAAACTTAAGCTGGTTTTGTCAGGAAAGATTGTCAGAACTTGTTTAAGTTTCCACATTCTGTTATGTTAAGCTTATCCCATTGTGACCTGGTATTCAACTGACTTTTATTGCCTAAAAGCTGATAAACTTGTCTAACTGTACACTTGTGTTTGTCGTTACTAATCCACTGGTACTAAAATGACAGGCAAGAGCATGTTGGAAAGGGAGATAACCACGTTGGGTCTTTATAGCCATGGACCCATTCATCGCCATTTCTTTGTTTTAAATCGTGGGAGATATTCTCAATAACACCAGAGATTTTAAAACCAAATGTTTTATCAACATTGTGAGATACAAGTTTTTCGTTGGAAGTAGTCACATTTGCAGGGCAGACATGGTGTCACTAGAATGCAATGAAGCAGTACCCAGGACCCTTATTCTCGAAACGTCCGTAGCCCTAAGAATTCTTAACTTTGATCGTAGGCAATGTGGTGAGGTGAAATTGGGTTTAACGTCGTGCTTGAGAATTTTCGCTCATATGACGGCGTGCATGCTTGTGTATGTGTATGTGCGGCTGCTTGTACTAGCTCAGACTGAATCCGGTATTATAGTGCTAGCCCACCTGGATACCATGCCGCAGTGAAGCATGAATACCCCACTCGGACTCATTATACTGACTCCGAGCCGACCAGTCCTTCTTGTACCCATTAACGCCGAGCGCCAGGCAGGGACAAACAAGTTCCATATTTTAACGTCTTTTGGTATGACGCGGCCGGGGATCGAACCCGCGACCTTCCGCTCTCCGGGCGGACGCTCTAACCACTACACCACGGAGGCGGTGCCAATGTGTTAAGAATGGGCTACGAACGTTTCGAGAATAGCTAGCCTGGGCACTTATTCTCGAAATGTTCGTAGCCCTAAGAATTCTTAACTCTGATCGTAGCCAATGTGTTAAGAATGGGCTTAAGAAGTTTCGAGAATGGCTTGCCTGGACCACTTGTTTGTTGGTCAAGGCTACATTCCTCAGTTTTCAGCGGTATGAAGCAATATGTAAGTAATCTCGTCTGGATCAGACATTTGAGTGATTGTACCCGTAAAGACCGGGTGAAAATTGGGCTTCAGCAACCCATGCTTGTAAGAGGCGACTAACGGAGGCTTGCTGACTTGGCTTAAACATATCCTCGTAGATCAATGTTCATGATGTTGACCATAGGATTGTCTACTCCAGATTCGATTATTTACAGACATCCATATTGCTGAGTGTTGTTTAACAACAAACCAACAGACGTTTCTGTGATTGAGATAATGAGCATCAAACTGCAATTATGAGCGATGACATCCATGAACGAAGTTAGCGAGCCTGACCATCACCCATTTGTCGCCTCACAACACGCATGGGTTGCTGAAATCAATTCTATCCCAGACCTTGCAAGAACCATAGACCATACCACATGCCACATTCTTCCCTTTTGGTAAGCTGATAGTTGGAGGAAACAATACTTCTAATTATTCTCGGAAATATTTAACGAACCAATCATTTGTGTATCGAGGCTTCCGTTTGGACAACTTGAATGACACTCGTCGAATTTCGTGATTGTGAAACCTACAATCTGTTTGCAGTGAAAACGTACCGATGAATGGCACTTTAAACCAAAAAGTAAAACAAATAAAGTGAAATTAAGACTGCGAATCCCCATGATTTTACCTTGCCAATTGAACATTTAAATCTCAGAATTTTAGTCGACTTAGGATAAAAGTTGTTTAGCAAACGATCATAGTTTCACATGGCTATTGTTGGTTTGTATGTACTATATGTACAAAATAAAAAATAACCTGGCTTGAATTTCATTTCACAAGTTTTACCGATATTTTGTACATACATGTCACAATAACACCATGGTGGAAACAGTCATCAAGTGACATTACACTTCGGATATTATATGCTATGATTGGGATTGAAGTAAAGTCATGAATAGAGTCGTGGTATAATTAACTCCGCACACAGCAATATTCCAGCTAACAGGATGGGGTGGTCATGCTTGACACATGTCATCGTATCCCAGTCGTGTAGATCGATACTCATACTGTTGATCACTGGATTGTCTGGTCCAGACTCGATTATTTACAGACCGCCGCCAAAAAGCTCAGTGCGGCGTTAAATAACAAACAAACAAACCAAACACTTTGGAACAGTTCCAGACGTACATATAAGCTGGACGTTCTTATTTGTCTTTCAATTCTCTTGGACCGCCTCCGTGGTGTAGTGGTTAGAGCGTCCGACCGGAGAGCGGAAGGTCACGGGGATCGATCCCTGACCGCGTCATACCATTGGGTTTAACGTCGTGCTTGAGAATATTTCGCTCATATGACGATGTGCATGCGTGTGTATGTGCGGCTGCTTGTGCTAGCCCAGACTGAAGCTGGTTTTATTGTTCTAGCCCACTGAGATACCATGCCGCAGTGAAGCATGAATACCCCACTCAGACACATTATACTGACTCCGAGCCTACCAGTCCTTGTTGTACCCATTAATGCCGAGCGCCAGGCAGGGACCAACAACTACCATATTTTAACGTCTTTTGGTATGACGCGGTCGGGGATCGAACCCGCGACCTTCCGCTCTCCGGGCGGACGCTCTAACCACTACACCACGGAGGCGGTCCAAGAGAATTGAAAGGCAAATAAGAACGTAAAAAGTAGGAATGGCTCTGAGGAGCAAATATGGCATGTACACATACAATATGTAAACATGCTGATTCAAAATCCAATTCCGAAAAATATCGACAAGCAAGGCAGCCCTATTTATCAAGGACACCGTGGCGTCCAAGACAAGTGTGACTTCCTGGCGGTTTGTTTTTTTTTTTGACATTCAATGACGTAGTGTTTTACTAGGTGTTACCATCACTGGAAGGACACATAGGGAACCGTATGCAGGTCAGCACAAGAACTGGTCCTCGCCAGCTTATGCTTGTTGCAAAATGCGTCAGACACCTATTCTCCAGTAAGTGGGACGATTTTGGATTTGTAACATTTCAATTTTTTTCTTCCGAATATTATTCGCTTTATAACTTTTCTTCAAGAAGACACAAGATATCTAGAGCAATAACTTGATGACCCAAATCCGACTTAAATTATTTTAAGAATGCCTTAAATAATGTATATCAAATTTATGAAAATCAGTTACGTTAACAGGTTACATAAATTAAGAAAAAATACTGCTTTGAAAATGTAAACAATATGTTCTTTTATGGATTAGGGGGCGGTGGGGTAGCCTAGTGGTTAAGGCGTTCGCTCGTCACGCCGAAGACCCGGGTTCGATGGGTACAATGTGTGAAGCCCATTTCTGGTGTCCCCCGCCGTGATATTGCTGGAATATTGCTAAAAGCAGCGTAAAACCAAACTCACTCACTCACTCACTTTTATGGATTGGAGTTAAGTTTGTGACTGTGTTGTTAATCATATGTCATCACACATCATGTCTAGGTTTGAAACAGTTCGTCATGTACGGTCTTGAATGTACCCGGAAGTGAGGTGCGATATTCATGCAAAGGTATTTTCTAAATGGTGGACCAAGTAAAATCACTGCTTCTAAGGAGCGGATTTCAGGAACATGAAAATTAAAAAAAACTGATTCAAAAGATAACGTATCTGATGTATTTTCATTGGCATTGTATTATTGACATTGTAGTATTCAAAATGCCTTCAAACATGTTTCCATAAGATAACAACTATTTGGAACAAAATACATATTATGAGAATAGATATCCTTTACACCTGCGACACTGAGACAGAAGATGCATGTTGAACGTACCTCGTGGACATCTCTCATTATGTGTTTATTTCTGAATATCACTTTAATGAGTGAGTGAGTTTAGTTTTACGCCGCACTCAGCAATATTCCAGCTATATGGTGGTGGTCTGTAAATAATCGAGTCTGGACCAGACAATCCAGTGATCAACATCATGAGCATCGATCGATCTACGCAATTGGGATACAATGACGTGTCGAATATCACTTTAACACAACAGCAACATCTCAAGCATTCAATGTCGGATATCACTTCAGATTTCAGTTGCGTGACTGTCATGATTAGCCCGATCACGTTGTACACTTATATTGTTAGGGGGTACATTCTTATATTTTCAGATACTAGTATGTCTACAAAAATGCTTAACCTATCTGATGTCAATTTCCAGGAAATTAATTTCATCCATATTAACAACAAATATTGTTTTGAATTTAACTGACTGTTTAACTGACCGTTGATAGACACATGCTACAAATGAAAAAAATTTTTTTGCACACTACCTGACGTAGGTAAGAGAATAGGGCCGCGCTTTATATGTGACTTAGGACGTGGAAACCAGAAAATGGCAAAATTGGGCACTTAAGAGTCAGATAACTTAGACTTTGGGGTTTATTTGTGATTAAAGTTATGTTGTTTCAGCTCAAACCTAAGTGTAGTATAACAATGCAATTGCAACTTTTAATCTTTGGATATTTACAATATCGTCACGGGAAAGACACAAACTAAAATCGTCCAGAATTGGTGCAGAATGCTTGTCGTCAGAGCGACTAACGGGATCGGGTGATCATGGTCGGCGAGTTGGTTGATCCATGTCATGATATCTCCATTGTGTAGATCGATGCTCATTATGTCAATCACTGTCTTACCAGGTCCACATCCTATTATTTACAGCCCGCCATCATACAGCCGCAAAATTATGTCGACAGATGCTCATAACGTTGTGGAACGTTTGGCATAAACTAAAACTTGTAAATCACATGATTGTCTGGTCCACACTAGATCATTCACAAACCGTCACATTCTACCATTATCAATAATGCTGCGTTATGCACATTAAACAAGGAAACAGAATTATTAAAACATAAATATAAAACAATATTCAGGAGGAATATTCGGGAACAGGTCAAAATGGCCACACAACAAAAATGGCCACACTGACCCTAGTCAAAATGGCCACACAAAAAAAGTCAAAATGGCCACAATCCCTAGTCAAAATGGCCATACCAAAAAGTTAAAATGGCCATAGATAAAGTCAAAATGGCCCTAGAAAAAGTCAAAATGGCCTTACATTATTTATTTTCATATTAATGAGTATTGTTCTTGAAATGCTTTCTTAATTGATACTTTGAGATTGTTACTTATTTAATATTTTGAGATGTTTTTTTGTCCTGTACTTTGAGATGTTTTCTTATGTAATACTTTGAGTTGTTTAATTACTCTCGCACTGTTTTCTTAATTAATACTTTTAGGTGTTATTTCAAAACCCTTTGATCATTGGGTAGTGTTTTAATAATATGACAATAAGTGACCAGGGTACATTTACTGAGGGCTCTTCGCCACACTCCCACCCCACTTCAGGAGGCACAAGTGAAGATGAAGGTAAGATGCATAGGTATTAAAAAATGACCACTTATCCTTTAATTGGCTCGTTAATTACTAATCAACATGTGATTACATACATTGTGTAACCTTAATTAAGATGTGAATCCAGAAGTGCCTCGTTAACTAATTAAGCCGTAATTGATCAATTAATTGTTTCTCTACGTTTATTGTAATTGTTCTTATACTTTTCGGGTCATCTTCATGTGAGGTCTGGGGTTTTGTAAATACTTCTTGTTTTGAAAATGTTCATCTACACTTTCTCAAATATTTAGTATCACCCAGGAAAAGTACACCTAACTTTATGGTATATGGCGAGTTTGGTAGATGCCCATTTGTAAATGTTATTCAAAGCAGAATGGTATGTTTTGGGGCTAAACTTGTAACCGGAAAATCATCAAAATTATGCTTCTTAATATATAAATTAATATTCAACGATTATATATTTGGCAAGTGTGAACATATATGGATAATCTGTCTTGAGAGAATTTCGACAATCTTGGACTGAGTTTCATCTGGGAATCCCAAAATTTTAAAAGTATATAATATGGCTTAAAACTGTTATCAAAAGTTAATTAAAATATTTAGTATTATATTAGACCAAATATGAATAAAATGAATATCCTATTTAACACTCAATTAACTTTCATTTTTTTTGTAAATAATTATGGCTTTATTTAAGTAATAATTTCAATAATTTAATATGTAACTTGCTCGATGTACATTGCACCTATCAAACTGTTTGTATATAATTTGTATGTTGTATAAATGTAAATATTATTTATGTACCTCTAATGCTGCAGTTTGCAGCCTCAGTGAATAAAGTTCAGTTCAGTTCTATTTGAGTACATGTACATGAAGAAAGAACCTACATCTATATGTCTTGTTATTCGTTGAAAATAATTTGTTGATGTGTAATAAACATCAAGTTTGGTCTATATATTCAAATGCATATCTTGATATCAAGTATGCAACATGGGAAAATAATAATAATGATTGACCATTTTGACATTTTTGTAGCCATTTTGACTTGGATGTTTTATGGCCATTTTGACGTGTGGCCATTTTGACTAGGACCCGAATATTCGGTGCCACTCCTCAGTTTTGTTTCACTCTGCCAGAAAATAAAAAACAGAAGCAGCGTAGCCTCCGATTAACCAATTACTTTTCGGGACTCGATCTCAGCCTCGTTATGAAAAGTTGCGCAGTCACCATGAACATGAAATCATGGCGAAATTTCTATCCAGAGTTCGCGCCCTTGGATTGCAGGCATTCGGCTTGAGGTACGGCTCGACTATGGCAGCTCAAAAGTTGAACGCGGATTTGTCTCGGGAACTGGTTGAAAGTGTTGACAATTTTTTGTTTGATTGCGACGGTAGGTGTGCATGCATGTTCATGATTATGCTTTCTTGTCCGAAATGAGTTCAATGACATTTCTTGACCGATAAGCAGAGAAACTCTCCTTTTGCAGCGCAAGAGATACAAAACCTATATGAACTGTCACGTGACTGTCACGTGATATTGAAAACAGCAGCCGACATCCTGCGACTTATTTAGTCAGGAGCTGAAAGTAGATAGAAGTACTGACGAAAATGTCCTTGTCCAAGGTTAAGGAGCGCTCACATATAATGACAAGACAATCCCCAACCTTAATTTTCTTCCCTAACCTCCTCGCCCATTTACTCAATCAAAATGTTTCGTTCAATGGAGTAGTCTTCGTTGAGTGTAAGATATTTGATTAGACATCTACTCTCATGGAGTGTAATCATTCCGACTCCTACAGAGTGGGCAGAAATGTATTAAATATTTGTAACAGATATTCATGTTCGAAGATCGAGTAACAACATGAAGCAAATATTTCTGAACATAAGTAATTTTCTTCCTGTTTATATTATGCATTTAAACTTAAACTTTATATGCCTATATTGACAAGTACGGCCGTACAAGTAGGATAAAGTACGTCATGTCAATACTTAGATCTGCTTGTAATAATTTCAAAAAGTCGAAAACCTACAAACATATGCTCAACAATTTGTTCACAAAACTTATATTATATACAGCAGTAGCTGGTATGAATGAATTTTTTGCCCTGTTTTTTCTCAACAGCTGTCACAGTCAGATAACCAAAGGAAGAAATAGATACCCTGAATATAAAACATGGGAGTTTTTGATTAGAACTTTTTATTTTTGCTTTATCAACTCTTTGCTGCTTAAGTAAATGAAGATCTCTTAGTTTGAAATCCTGGATAAATCCCTGTCAATCTGGCCTAGTTGAAATGTAAAAGTACACAATTTTGTCAGAACAACAATTCATTCCAAAATTATTTTAGTAATAATAGACGGGTGTTTGTATCTCTGCCTGAAACTTTTATTTACTGTGGAGTGTCATTAAATTGTACAACATATAGAGCAAACTAATCATGATTTATGTTAATAACTACCAAAATTGTTTGATAATATTAATTTCCTCTTACCTGTATTACTCTCACCTCAAGTTGTGCATGAATGGAATGCTTAATAAGAATCTATTGAAACTTTCTCAGATCAAGGTGGAAAGTAGGGGTGAAACGATATACCGCAGTATTATTAGAACCGCGGTATTTTGCCTTTGGTTCGGTATACTGTAATGCAATCCAAAAATTCAGGATTTTCGGTTTTCTTACTGTCATTTATTAACCTTTTCTACAATGTCTAGAAATCAAATCATTTTGTCAAAATCTGTGCATTTCTCAACAGACGGCCGCTATTTTCTCGGAAGTAAGTTCCCATATACGGAACCGAAGGCCTTGTACCACAGTACGTACTGTACCGTGGTAAGAGCGCATACCGTTTCCCCCCTAGTGGAAAGATGCCAACTGTGATCCTTGTAGCACAGGAACCTGTTATCGCTATGTAGGTTAAAACTTAGACCATAGATCTATACACACGTCATGTATATAAATAGAGTATTTATATATATGACGTGTGTAGATATTAGATCTATGTTTAAAATTTATAACATGTTTAATAAATGATGAAAGACGTAAGGTGATCCCAGCATCGATATCAAACCAAAGCTGTGAAACGGCATTTATCTTGATTAAAACTTAGACCATAGATCTATGCACACGTCATGTATATAAATAGAGTATTTATATATATGACATGTGTGTAGATATATGGTCTATGTTTAACCTACATAGCGATAACAGGTTCCTGTGCCTTGTAGGTGCCAAATTGTGTTTCCGAGGAATTAGTGTGGCTACTGGGATTTTTTATGTGAAATTTAAAACATGTTTAATAAATGATGAAAGACGTAAGGTGATCCCAGCATCGATATCAAACCAAAGCTGTGAAACGGCATTTATCTTGATGCCTTACACCATATGTAACGTAGAACCTTGCATCAATGTGTTCTTCATTTTGAGGGCAGTGGGGTAGCCTAGTGGTTAAAGTGTTTACTCATCACGCCGAAGACCTGGGTTCGATTCCCCACATGGGTACAATGTGTGAAGCCCATTTCTGGTGTCCCCTGCCATGATGTTGCTTGAATATTGCTAAAAGCGGTGTAAAACCATACTCGCTCACTCATCATTTTGAAACTGCTAAACATCTGTTGTTTCAGGTGTGCTATGGGATGGAAAAGGTGCCATTCCTGGAAGTCTGGAGACAATCAAGCTTCTTAAAAAATTGGTAAGGCCCTTGACAAAAAGTATTATGATACATAGGGTTTCAGGACCTGAGAAGTGAGATGAGAAAGTTTTCCGTTTTTGTTATGTTTATGTGTGATATGTATTGTGTAGAGTCATCTTCAAAGCTGATGGTGCTTCAGTTGAATGACTTGTTGACAACTGATCCTAAAGGAAATGAGAATCCTAAGATTCCTTTGAGTAGAAACACCAATTCTCCCCGTACCAGCATGTTTGTAGTTGATGAAAGTTAGGGCCACCTTTGTTGGGATATCAATGGCATAACACCCATTGTTTGTTTAGAATGGGGAACAACATTGAATAGTAGATTTATGCAAACTTATTGGAAAGATTGTGCAAATTTTATCAAATAAGCAATGCAGCATATGTTATTATTCTCCATTTGGACAGGGGGGTGGTGGGGTAGCCTAGTGGATAGTCATGCCGAAGACCCGGGTTCGCTTCCCCACATGGGTACAATGTGTGAAACCAATTTCTGGTGTCCCCTGCCATGATATTGCTGGAATATTGCTAAAGCGGCGTAAAACTAGTCACTCACTCACTCCATTTGGACAGTGCTCTAGTTTAAGTATTGTATTGACTCTATGAGGATATAGTCAAGTAATGCCTTTAAAATGGCTATCATGATTATGTGTGAAAACATTTGAAATATTTTTGATCATACATCCCAGTGATCCTTATCAGCAGTAAGAGTTTATCTCATTCAGACTCAGAGACAAATGGCATGTCATGAATATTTGTATAGCAGGACAGCTGCTGCCAAGTAATAGCTAGTGTTGGGAATTGGTTTAAATCTCATAATTGATGATTGGTTCATTACAACCGATCATCAAAAATAATTGGTTAGCGTCATATATCAAATTTTCCTGGTTACGTTTGTTAATGCACAAAAGATAAAGAAAAAACATGTAGTCCTTTTGTGTGTTTTTGCATTTCACATCTTTAAAGGATGACTAGTATGTTAGGAACATGAATTTCATGGAGTCTTTAAAATAAATTCAGTCATGAATTGGAAGAGCTTGTAGTGCTAATGAAATCTAACAGACAAAACCAACCTTGTGAAAAATATTGTTATTGCAAACAAGTGTTCCAAAATTGTTTGTGTTCGATTATGAGAAAACATGATCGATTGCTTGGTCGTTCAGTCATTGCGACCAGTCTTCGATTATTTCAATTAATCAGACCACCACTAGTAATAGCATGAGCTGATGTTACATGATTTGTTTGGTGTGATTCATAATAAATTTCCAGGGGAAAGTGCAATTGTCTGCTGTAAGTAAAGTTGCCTGTTCTGATTTATCAAACAGAAGTCCAGACAAAAATTGCTTAACAGCTATGTTTTCATGTAAGGAAGAGAGTTTTATGGATGTCAACTTCTTTATTTTGAGGAACATAACGTTTCGTAGTATATCCTTACTCCTTCATCAGCATATATTCCGCAATGTGTGTTCAGCGTCCGAAATAGCTACAGTCAAAGTAGCTACTGACCCGCTAGCTGATTATGAATCAGGCCAGTAATAAATTCCTAACGCTACCTCGACGATCTAGCTGAAAATCTCTTTATTTTCTTTATCTTTATTTAATACACATGAATATGAAGAAGTCACTTATTAAGGTGTGAAAAGTCTGTCTGCAAAGGTTATGTGATGTTTATTATGTCTTGTCACGCTGAAGATCATATATAAAAATATGTTAATAGAGTTGAACAAAAAGGGTAGGAACCATTACAATACAAATGCAACGTTTAACATCTTCAATTACCAAACATCACACCAATTCTGACTGATGTGCATTTTGATATGGATATAGTGGTTAAAGCATTCGATCATTACACCGAAGACCCTGGTTTGATTCCCCACATGGGTATATATATTGTGTGAAGCCTATTTCTGGTGTCCCCGGCCGTGATATTGCTGGGATATTGCTAGAAGTGGCGTAAAACCATACTCACTCACTCTAAATTTCGTGCAAAGACCTTATGTGTTCACAGTGTCCAAATATAATCCAGCTATATTCTGATGTATGAGTCATAAGATTTTGAGAAAGTGTATAAAAGTCGATAAATTTCAGGGTTGTGTCTGTGTTACAACTGACCTTTTTTCTTCTATAATATCATCACAGTATGAGACATTTTTATTGTTTTCATTGTAAGTCCTTTATCCACATTCTCAATTCCACAAATTTTATTTGTTCAAGTTTCATTTCTAACATGCATTTTCCAACCATGTCTTCCAGTTCTCAAGAAGCTAATGTTTAATTGTGGTGGTTATTGACCTTATCATTGGAAACAGCTACTGACTCCTTGATCTATTTGTTCTAATTTGTAACAGATACTGTTCTGTGTAAAGTTATGCACATAAATTAAACAATCACTTGAATCATGGGACAGTGTGCATTCCTCAGCCAGTAATGTTTATGAGTCTTGTCAAATTGTCAGTTTTGATATTTATGATTGTTTTTGATAAATCTTATATTAATAACATATGTTTTTCTGATGCGAATTTTCTGTGGCTCAAATTTGATTATGAGAAAATATCAAATGTGAATTATTAAAAGGTAAATTTGATTTGTAATCTCAACGACAAAGTGCAAGATTTAAGCGCACAAAACATATTATGCAGACAATTTGTTTCACATTATTAACATGAAGCTACAGGTTTTTACATCCTCATAGACTGATTTTGTGTTAAGTTCTTTATTGTATATGGTTCCTTTATATTTATGTGTCAATTGCTTCTGTTTTAGGGCAAGAGGGTTTTCTATGCAACTAATAACAGTTCCAGTACCCGAGAGCAGTATGCACAGAAGTGTCAGAAGTTTGGTTACGATGCGGCAGAGGTTTGTGTCCTCTTCATTATTAGAGCAGATCCAGTGCTCCAGATAATGTTCTACTTAGTGCTGGAGAGATTGATCAAATAGTTGGTCAATCAATCTATCTAGGATGCGTTATCAATTATTGATAGGTTCGGGAGACATCTATATTCATAACAGTCAATGAAATATCAAATTAAACTTTAGGAAATAAGTATATAACATGTTGCATTTGACCACTTTCTAAATGGCATTGTATTATCATAGCGTTCTGCCATGGGAGCCGTGCCAATTTACACTTATCAGAGGGGTACACAAAGTCCGCAGTCTACCAGTTGTCCGACTTCCATTTTTGTGGAAGTCGCAGTGGCTGAGCGGGTTAGGCGGCTGACTATGTGTGCTGGAGATTTAGTGCCTGACTCTGAGGGTGTGGGTTCGAATCATGGATGGGACTAGTGGTGTTGCGATTAATTGAAATAATCGAAGATTGGTCGAAGTGACCACCCGACCAAGCAATCGCTGACATTTTCTCATAATCGAACACATACTGCTGTTTTAGTCTTTGAAACACTTGACAATGGAACATATCTTCGTAGTTGTCAGGGCCTGAAAAGTTGTTTAATTCATAGAAAACTCACTTCACTCGCTGAAAAGTCATGACTGAATATTTCTTGAAGTCTCCTGGAAGTTTATTTTAATGATATATTAGTCATCACTTCAAAGTAGCAAGTTGCATCATGTTATACATATCTGCAATAACAACCTGGAAAGGAAAATCTGAAAAATGATGCTAACCAATTTTTTTCGATGATTGTTCGTTGGTAATGAAGCAATCATTAATTATGAGATTTCAACCAATTCCCAACACTAGATGGGACGCAACTCAAACAACACGCATGCATGCACTCATGCACAGAGAGAGAGAGAGAGAGAGAGCTCCAATTATCGATCTGCATATTGTGAGGGACAATCATCACTAGTTCTATTCCACTTAGTATTTACTCACAAGTGACTAGTCACTTTCCAGTCTGTGACATAAGAAACTATTCCGAAGCCTGAGTTTAATAAAATTCTTTTCAATCCAGTAACCTCAGAGACAGTCAAACTAAACTGCACTGAATATGATGCAGAAAGGCAATTTTGACCTGATGGAATTTATAGTCTTTGGCTAGACTGTATTGGGAATTCAGTGTCTTTTCGCTCACCTTGGTCAATGTCTTTGGGTGTACCAGAGGGCACTGTTATAAATAATTTGAATAATAACGCCCTTTTGGGTCAGTCATAATTTGCATTTGTTAGTGTCCCCACATGGGTACAATGTGTGAAGCTAATTTATTGTGTCCCTGGCCATGATATTGCTGGAATATTGATAAAAATGGTGTAAAAACCATACTCAGTCAGTCATTTGTTGATGTTCAACCCCTTCTCTGTATAATATGTCACATAAGCTCACTTGTACAGAAATTTGACTGTTACCATAGTTACCATTATAGGTGCTCCAAGTGAATGAAACAATTTAACATCTATTATAAGGCCCAAATGACCAAGAAATGTAACAGTAATTTAAGGCCATGAAATTTTATGAAAAACAATGCTTTTTATAATTCATTGTACTTGGATGTCATAATGACTTTTAATGGATATTAATATGGCCATACAAGTTTCAGTTCAAAACTTGATATTTGCTGATGAAGCTTTTTCACTTGTTTCAACAGGAGGAGATTGTGTGTACGGCCTTTATTGGAGCTTTATATTTGAAAAACATTAACTTCACTGGGAAGGTGTACCTGGTGGGAAATCCTGCCATGGGTGTGGAGCTGGATAAATACGGTATTCGGCACACAGGCATAGGGGTAAGTATATGGGTATATATATGGGGTTGTGCTAATACAGGCATTGATGGTAATCAGCATACAGGCCTAGGGTGTTGAGTAGGGTTATATATGGTGTCCTGCAGATACAGTAACTGGGGATGAATTGGTGTATAAATATGGTAATCAGGCATGGGAATGGTGATAAATATGGTGTCCTATATGTACAGGCATTAGAGGTACTTTGGTGAATATATTTGGCACACTGATAGTTGTGTGTTGGTTAATGGGTTGTGATAAATTTGGTATTCAGTGTACAGGCGTACAGGTACAGGATAATAGATGGTTACATACATTTAGTATTTAGCAAGCAGGCATTGTGGTAAGTAATTAGATAATCATCAACATCTTGTCAAAGGAATATTTTAACTGTATTACAACAATCTGCAAGTGCAAAAGCAAAAGTTGTCGAGAGTTGATGTGTTGGTAAATGTACTTGCAATTTATTTGTATTGATTTTGATTTGATAGAAAACCAGATCCATCCTGTTGCCAGTCTTGAATTTTGTAACATTTTTCATTCTGTTTGAGTTATATTCAATTGTTTAATTAATATGAAGTGAAAGAAGTGAAAATGTCCAATGTTTCAGCCTGACCAGGAAATGATAGATGACTTCTATCCAGAATGGTTGACAATGAAGTTGGATCCTGAGGTAAGTGACTGAGTGCCATGTATACCATGGCATGTTTGTATATAGTCAACATTCAAATTTTCAGTGGGCGGTGGGGTAGCCTAGTGGTTAATGCGTTCACTCATAACACCGAAACCTGGGTTTGATTCCCCACATGGTTGCATGTCCCCCGCCGTGATATTGCTGGAATATTGCCAAAAGTGGCGTAACCTAAACTCACTCACTCACTTAAATTTTCAGTGGCAGCCTCGATGGTCTAGTAGATACAGTGTCTGCCCAGATATATCCTAGCATCTATGGTTCAGTTGATAAGAGCATCTGTACAGGGACAGGAAGGTCAATAGTTTCCATCCCCAGCCATGCCGTAACAATGGTACCTTTAAAGATCTGGGTTAGAACTGGTCTTCAGCTACCATGCTTGTTGTAAGAGGCGAGTAACAGGATCAGGTGGTCAGACTTGCTGACTTGGTTGACACAAGTCATTGTATCCTAATTGCGTAGATCGATGCTCATGCTGTTGATCACAGGATTGTCTGGTCCACACTCGATTATTTACAAACAGCCGCCATATAGTTGTAATATTACTGAGTGTGGTGTAAAACTAAACTCACTCACTCACTCACATGGTATAAGTTGACCCTCTGCAGGTGTTATTATGCCAACACAATGGAAGTTAAAGATGGTACTTGATTGCATGCACATAAGAACCCGGCTTTTTGTTGACCTGTACCAGTTTGTGTTTGTTGTACTGGTCCCTGATGTGGTGGTGTGTCAGTATACCACATGTCTTTGTTACAATGTGTCACAAATATTGCCTGTAACTTGTGTTTCAAGTTTGGTGCTAAATGACGTAATCATTTCCCTTCTGACTTAGTGACAAACTGACTAGGGTTGCAATTCGCTGTGCAGAGTTGTGGCCCTTGGGTATGCAAAAACTTATGATCATGGCTCAAATCACAATTCACAAATCATTTTTCTAGGTTCACTATGCTCATGACGTGTGTTTGACTAAACTTTGAAATATTTGTGAACTGTGTCACTTCAACCTTTCCTCTCACATCAAGATGACCCTTCCATGAGTAAATTAGAACGATGTTAAAACTGATTCATTGACTGACTCACTCCTGACAAAACCTCAGTTTTTAACTGACTGTCATTGGAAGCATCACATTTATTTTGTTAAGTCATTTCTCAAGAAGAAGTAGCATGTCGTCCATATAACTGCCTAATTATACCTTTTATCTGCTGATATATAAACATGGTTCTTGTGATATTTTGTCAATGTAAGACTTTGTATCATTTCAGGTGAACTGTGTTATGGTTGGGTTTGACAAGTACTTGAGCTATCCCAAAATACTGAAAGCCAGCAGTTATCTGAAGAAACAAGATACTATCTTCTTAGCAACAAATGAAGATAGCAATCTACCTGCGAAGGGGGACATTGTTATTCCTGGTTAGTGTGTGTGGTTTATCTTGAAAACTGTGGAATGATACTGTCGACCAGTTGCTTGATGCTGTAGACCTCCATGTCTACCTCAGCTAGTGTGAAAAAAGTGAGTGAGTGAGTATGGTTTACCACCGCTTTTAGCAATATTCTAGCAATATTGTGGTAGGGGGACACCAGAAATGGGCTTCACACATTGTACCCATGTGGGGAATCGAACCCGGGTCTTTGGCTGAAGTGAAGCCCATTTTGTCCCCCCGTGATATGGAATATTGCTAAAGCGGCGAAACCAAACTCGGTCTTCAGTCAGTCTTGATGGATGAGCTGGACTTTTAACCACAAGGCTACACCACCCTAGTGTGGAAAAATATAAAAATTCCAGACAATCATTCCAAACAGACTTCATGAATCTAACCAGATGTACATTGTGACAAATTTGGTCAGTATGTTATATAGACAATCATAGCATTTTCCAGAGTCTTTCTTAATCATCTGTATGAACATTATACTTGGATTGATATGTTTATAAATCTTGAAAAGTCATGGTCTGGTGTTGGTGCTGATAATGTTATCAATCCAAAATGTGAGTGAGTGAGTTTAGTTTTACGCCACATCGACATTATTTCAGCCATATAGCGACGAGACCAAGTCTGCACACATATACAATTTAATTACAAAGTTCGGAGTAGTGAGTGAGTGCATTTTAGTTTTAAGCCGCTTTAAGCAATATTCCAGCAATATCACAGCGGGGGACACCAGAAATGAGTTTCACACATTGTACCCATGTGGGGTATCGAACACGGGTCTTCGGCATGACGAGCGAATGCTTTAACCACCAGGCTACCCAACCCTAGTGTGAAGAAAAATTAAAAATTCCAGACTATCATTCCAAACAGACTTCATGAATTTAACCAGATGTACCACCCCAATCTAAAATGTGACAACTGCAGTTCATTATCACTGTTTATTGTCAAAGCGATCTTTACAATTGGTAGTATTAAAAACTCATTCAGATAATTTTTATATCTATAGTTGGGAGGAACAATTAACCAAGCTAAAAAACCAATGTAAGGCCTAAAGTCCAAGGCTTAACCATCATTTTATAAATAACAAATGATGCCTCCACATACTTTCTTTAAATTCTGTCATTGTCTGTGGTGTCTATAACTTATTTTGAAAAATGATTGTAGTATTATCCAGATACAGATTGTTCAGTGTTTTTAAGGAATGTAACATTAGTGCTCACACCCATTTTACATGTGCGGTAACCACTTGTTCTAGTATTGAGATGACACTATGGCTGTAACGATTCACTCGCATATTCGGTGAATCGAACCGTAGCCCTTCATGAATTCAATTCGTTATTCGTCATCACCAGAACAGAATATTAACGAATATTTATGATTTTTTTTAAGGGAGCATGTTTTATTTGAACCCTTGTGTACTTTTGGAAAGTGAGATATGCAAGGATTGAATATGTACTAGCCTTGCAGTAGCACAAGTCATGTTAGTTTGCCAAGGCCACACATGGTACTGTCGACTATAACTATTACATACCAAATTTGAGTGTCATGAGATCACTGGTTATTGCTGTGACAAATCAAAACTGTCAAAATGGGCCTTCCATATTCTACATCAATCACTTAACTACAATACTGTATTCATGAATAATTATTTGTATTCATTACTCAATATTCATGATACGTATCATATTTGCCACATAGTGTATTCGTTGCAGCCCTAGATGACACCTATAAGTTTCCTCCTTTACAGTTAATGTAACTTCTGAAATAGCAGTATAATGTAAATGTAAGACATGAAGCCTCAGAAGAAGTCTCGTGCTCCTTGACAATTGTCAGGAAATTTAAATTTGCCTGCAGTTGCGATACAGAAGATTTGATTGTAGCTGTGTATGACATTAGGTTCAGTGGGACAGCACCAGTTTCAGCTGGAGGCTGACTTTAACACTTCTGTTCCGCGGTTCCCAGCAACCAATGCTGTTCTTTAAGTCAGACTTGGCGTGACTGTATGATGGCATGTAATCATAACCCAGTGTCATGGATTATTGTTCACACTATCCAAATCACTTGATTGTTTTGTTGAGATCATTATTAACAGGGCACTATCATAAAGCTGGAGGGGCGGTGGGGTAGCCCAGTGGTTAAAGCGTTCGCTCGACACGCCTAAGACCCGGGTTCGAATTGTATGAAGCTCATTTCTGGTGCCCCACCCCGTTATATTGCTGCAATATTGCTAAAAGCAGCGTAAAACCAAACTCACTCATAAAGCTGGAACACACACACATATTGATTCCATACTGACCATTCATCAGACCCAGCAGTAGTGCAAGAAAACTTTCAAAAGCAGACATTTGTACCCAATTTCCAACAAGACCTGGGATGGTGGGTTAGCCTAGTGGTTAAAGCGTTTGCATGTCACGCGCCGAAGACCTGGGTTCGATTTCCCACATGGGTGCAATGTGTAAAGCCCATTTCTGGTGTCAGCTGCCGTGATATTGTTGGAATATTGCTAAAAGCGACATAATCTAAACTCACTCACTCCAACATGACCCGTGTTCACTCGGCTACAAATTTGATACCAATTGGGCAAGAAGTAAATTGCAGATTGCCAGCAGAAAGTGGTGAAAGGGAGATAACTGTAGTTTAAACCTTCAGATTTATAGGTTACCAGACCGCAATCCATGTGACTAAAGTGAAAAAACCCAAAATAACTGCTGATCATTTGAAGCTGCAAAAAATGCAAATGTCGGAAATACCTGTCTTGTGTATGATGAATAAATGACAATTTATTCCACAGAACTTGCCTTTTGATTTTCAGGAACTGGAACAATGGTCCATGCGGTGAAATGTGCCAGCCGAAGGGATCCAATTGTTTTAGGAAAGCCAGAAAGGCCGATGTTTGATGTCCTACAAAAGGCACACAACCTTGACCCAGCTCGATGCTGTATGGTTGGTGACCGGTAAGAAAGTCCCCCTGTTGAGCATGCATAGGAACTATGGTTCAGTTTGTAACACTCTTAATCAAAATCTTGTCGTCTTGTCGAAGGCCTACATGACTGGTGAAGATGTGAGTTAGAACTGTTCTTAAGTACTTGTTGAAGCACAGGCAAAATGTAGCGCAAATAGGGTTGTGCAACAAAGAGAAAATGACCAATCTTCGTATATGCGAACGTAATTTATGGCAACGTAATTTTTAAATATGAGGTTATTATTAAATATTGGTTGGAAATCTAAGAGCACAATCCTGTGAGGAAATGGGTGATATTCTGTTTTGATATTAAAATATTTTTTCGAACCGAAGTGAGGGAAGTATGTTGCTAACCTTTGCTCGCTTCACTCACATATAGATAGACTGGTCATTATTTCTCTCTGTTGCGCAGCCCTATTTGCGCTACAGCTTGCCTGTGGTTGAAAGTGGCAACTAATGGGATTGGGTTGTCAGGTGTGCTGACTTGGTTGATGCATGTCATTGTATGACAGTTGCATAAAATCATTGTCAATCATGCTCAGTTTGGAGTTACTTCCCTTCATTCATTGACGTTAATTAATGAAGGATTCCAAATATAACATTCACAGAACTTATAGCCGGTCACATGCTTAGTATAACATCAATAACGCGGACCTTAGCAACCTTGTGCATTTGTCAAATTTGGCATTTATGATTGAACAATTCAGAGGTTCAGATAAGTTGCATATCTGTGTAAATTATGCAAATATTTATGTGAAAACTCAATTCCTATTAAGTCTATTGTGTACAAGTACGCTTTGAATTTTGTAAATAGTCAATAAATTTGGTGTTGCATTTGATCTTTGACAAAATGTCAAATCTAAGCCTGCATACTGGTGGATAGATAAAATAACTGAGGTATATTGAGATGTTCTATTTCAACACATGAACTTGGCGACTTGCAGTCTTTCTTATTATTCCTCATATTACAGATCAAATATAAATAACAAACACGTAAACCAACATTTAAACTTTGTTATATTTTTACAATTAATGGAAAATGGAGTTTGAATGAGGTGGGTACAATTTAATTGGTTACTCAAAGGAAAATTAAGATACCCAATTGAAATGAACACAAGCGAGTACATTATAAGTTGTTCTCTGGTCTCGAGGGGGACATGGGCTGATGTACCCTCGATGTTTGTTTATGTTCCCAGAGCCCGAAGGGGCGAGGGAACATAAAGAAACATCGAGGGTATATCAACCCATGAGCCCCGAGGGACCAGTGAACAACGTATTTATCTTACCGAACACCTTAATGGTAAGTTTGAACTGTTTGAAGCACGGGTATCGGATCACAGTGTGGAGTACAAGACGACAAGAAATAAATAATTGAAAGGTATCTTCCTTCAATCGATCTGCATTTGCAAAACATTGGTAATTTCCTGACATCATATGTGATTCAATGTTATTCGAGATAAAGAATTACTACTACGAAGTATCAAATGAGTTCGGCATTCCCAGCGGGGTACATAGAAAATGTTACTCGCTTGTAAGCGGGGTACATTGAAAATAATAGAAGAGTGCTCAGTCAATCAGAAAAGACATTTATGCGTGAGGCAAGATAAAACTCAATGACCTATCTGTAGCTCTGGAACTTTATTACAAATAATATGATAACAAACTACTTAAAACGGAAGTGTGAAGGGAAAGGTGGTGAGGAATCGGGGATAAGTCCTGACAAAAAGAAACTGACAGCGGTCACACCAAGAACTCTAGTAAAGCGGTAGGCAGTGTAGGTGTTACGTGTCAACTGAAGACGTGATTTTGAATTATTTATATGTTTTAGCTTATTGAAATTTCATTTAGCTTGTGCTTTAAAAAGTTAAGTTCAAACCCTGTGTCATTCACCTATTATAGAGCTGAGTGCATATGTTCACAACAAACCAACATGCATGGCACAGCACATCCAAAATAAACCCATATTGGCATTTCGACTGATTAGAGATTAGATTAAGTTCAGTTCGAAGTAAGCATGAAAGTAAAGGGTTTCTTGTCATACCCCAAAGATATTTACAGGCTGCAATATTATTATTGCAGTTCAAACAATCACTCACTCATGACAGTCAGGCAAAATCACAAATTACCTGTGCTTCAGAAACTTGAAATGGATATTTCTTAGTGTTTGTTTCAACTGTTTCAGAATCAACACTGACATAGGACTGGCCAAGGGGTGTGGGTTGAAGTCGCTTCTTGTACTGAGTGGTGTGTCGATGGAAGCAGATGTTAACCCTGAATCAAGCATCTTCTCCAAGGAGCAGTTTCCGGATTATTACACGTCAACTCTTGGGGACCTGGAGAAGCATCTCCAAAACTCACAACAACAGAGTTGATGATGAATGAAGTTTAAGATATTAAATCATATTGTTTTTATTGTTTTTGACTTTTCGACAGGCCAGTGTTTTCTTCATCAGGGCTCGATTTAAGAGATGTTCACCTACTTGCACAGGGTGCAACCTAAGATAAAAACCTTGTTGCACCAGCCAAATTCCAGTTGCACTGCTTTTATTGCAAAATATAATGAAAGAAATATGTTATTGAATTATTGTTTTATTCAGAAATTTTACACACTCAAAAATTGACTTGCACTTGGTTCAGTTTAGACCAATAACCTGGTTGCACATTTCGTAATATAGGGTTGCACTAGTGCAAGTAACAAAGCACTTAATTGAGCCCTGTTTATTATTATTTATTTACTACTTTGTTCTGTTGCATGTGTTTTTTTCATTCTTTTCTCCACAACATGTATTGTCCATGCTTGACAATGGTACATGGAACTATACCTATTATGTTATATCTATAATAACAAACTTGTGATCCATTAACATTTTGTCTGATTTATAATGTTTTGTTAACTTTTTAAACCTGCCATACATTTGAATGGGTAATGTAAAGGTGCAGAGCATCATTTTTGAAAGACTTAGAAGTATTAAACAATCCTGTCGATTCTTGTGCAATAACTTTTTAAATTTGTTTTGAATGTTTGCCAGTGTTATTGTTTTTGTGAAATATCATGCTACTCAGGTGCTTCTGTCATAGGTGAGAAATAAGAATGTGAGCTTTTGGCAACCACGAACATTGGTTTAGCTTCACATCTGACCATGGATCATTATACATATAAAGTTGTTTGTCTCGGTTTTCTGTCCATCAGTATATCCAGTTGTATGTTTGCTCAAGCAAAAATAAAACAGAGAAGTTTTCAATAGGCTGTCATGTTTTAAGTGTTTTATGCCTCAGGTGATCCTTTTAATAGTTGCAATAGTAGTGGTATAAATATTTAATTCGATTGTAGACCACTGACAGATTTGTTTGCACTGATTTCTCTCTGTAGTGACTTTGCGAGCAAAATGATCATATTTTAGATTTTGGAATATGTAATTTTGTGGGTATTTGCTAAGCATTTTATAAGTTTTCATTAGTTATTACAAATCATGGCAATATATATGTATATATGAATACCTATATAGGCAATACCTGTATATATGAATCCTATTGGAGGCGAATATGACACATGTCACTAATATTGGGTAACGATTATTGGATGGCAATTACAGTAACAAGTGAGCAGTTAATGATTGAATAATAGGAGCGAGGCAGTAACAAAATGATTATTTTAAATATTTTGACCATACTGACAGTGTTAATTTATCATGACAATGACAAGTGTCCCTATTACTATCAAATCAATTATATAAGAATGTTTGCTATTATCCTGCCTGCCTTGAATATATTCCACTTTGCATATGTCATTTTGATAATATAATTCAAGTTCAAGAAAAAACACACCTTTTATAACATTAGTGAATATTTGATTCCAGTGATCATGAATAACAAACTGAATTCATGAATGAATACAGTTTGTTTCATGAAATAAGCATTTGAATTATTTAAAACCCTAATGTGTATGCATAATCATTGTCCCCAAAATCGACCATATAAGTTGTCTGTCTCTTTTTAACCGACTAAATAGTAATTATGATCAAATATCTTTTAGAGAATTTTGTGCTAATCACTTGCTCTAAGATTATGTCTGTCAAGTAAAATATAGTTAGATATGAGTATTATTTTACTTTGTGAATGATTTGGAATATGTAATCGTTTTCTTCTTTGTACCTGAAAAAGGTGAGTTACAGAACCATCACGGTATCTATTTTGCAACTACAAAAAACTCAAATGTAGGACTTTTATCAGTATGTTACATAATATTATAATCTGTATCAATTGATAAGTTAAATGAATTTTAAAGTTTATGAATAATTCTTCAGAAAAATAATAATACATCTATGACTTTATGAATTACATATTATGATATAATCTGTAGGAATACATTTCAATACATGAAATAATAATTCTTCACTATTTTCGTTTTTGAATATTATGTCTGGAAAGCTGGTCAATGAAATATGGATCAGCAACCAACTGCTAAGTGGTCATTCTAACATGCAGTTTTATTGACAAGTTAAAATCTTGTCTTGTTGATAAGAAGCATTTTGAAATGGTTTATTGCCACAGATGAAACAGCTGAGATATTAAAATATACTACTCAAAGTTTGATAAGGATCATATTTTTCAGCACTTGTAAAACTTTCAACAAAGGTGAATGACAACCAACACAGAGTGGTTTATGTTCAGAAATGTTTACTTCAAGAAATTGTGACAGAAAAATTTGGCAAACATGACATTTCATCGCGTACTCCTAAGGTAAAGGGAGAGTACCATAAAAAGCATGGTAATTTCATGATCACGAAAGTGTTTAAACTCTGCACATTCCATTTCACACTGCACAAACAAGTGTCAATAGCGGGTATGGCCTCCGTTAGCTCCAATGACAGCTTGGCAACGTCGTCTCATGCTTCCAACGAGGTTTTGAATGGACGCAAGATAGAGATTGTTCCATTCTTGGATCAGAACATTTTCAAGTTCCTGGAGGGTGGTTGGTTGTACAGGACGACGTGAAATCGCTACCTGAAGCATATTCCAGACATGCTCGATAGGGTTGAGGTCTGGAGAACGAGCTGGCCAGTCCATACGAACAATTGTCTCACATTCCAGGTACTCGCCCACCACCCTAGCACGATGTGGCGCATTGTCCATGAGGATGAAGTGCACCAGCATATGGTCTCACGCATACATCCAGGACTTCATCCCTGTAGCGCATCTCGGTCATCGTGCCTCGCCTTAGGACATGGAGATCAGTTCGTCCAGCTCGACTGATTCCTCCCCAAATCATCAACGACCCACCACCATATCTGTCGTGTTCAGCAACATTAGCGTCCTGATATCGTTCTCCTGCCCTTCTCCCACCGTGCACGACGCATCTGTGAAGTCAACACAAAACCTCGACTCGTCTGTGAAAAAGTACAGGGGCCCAATCAACAACCCTCCAATTCACATGAGCCCTGGCCCAATTCAAACGATCTTGTCTGTGTCGCTGAGTAAGAGGGATGCGAATACAGGCTCTCGAGGAACGAAGACCAGCTGCATGAAGACGATTATGCACAGTTTGCGTGGAAATGTTAACTCCAGTTGCATTCAGAAGATCATTTCTAAAGCGCAGTCGCCGTTGCAAACCGATGACGTTGTGCTGAAATCAAGAGAAAACGGTCATCTTGCTGCGTGGTGGACCTTTCTCTGCCGCCTTCCATGTCGATGAGAAGCTGAACCATGAGCTTGATACCGGTTCCAAGCTCTGCAAACAACGCTTCTGACTGACACCCAATAGCTCTGCAACGTGGACGTTGTCTTGCACCATTTTCGAGCATTCCTATGCATCTGGCCAATTCTTCAACAGTCAAACGGACGTCTTTGACGTTGTGGAGGCATTTTCATAGAGTAACAGTGACTTAAACGATGTCAGATGTAAAGACAATGCCCAAATTCAAATCAACGACAAGCACTCAGAAATGTGAAAAATGTGGGTACCATGCTTCACGTGCTACTCATGATCATTGCAGCATGCATTTCCCTACCTAACCTGTGTTTTGAGGCTCAAGAGGGGTCAGTCCAACATTGTGATGAAATTTGCGTGTCATATCAATTCATATATTGATTTTATAATGTAAGAACTATATGATCCTTATCAAACTTTGAGTAGTATATATTATGCCACTGATATGAAGTCAGCTGCATTTGTGTGTCCACCATTTGGTCAACTACCAACAGATGAGTGGGTTCTGTGATACTTTTACATAGGTAAGAAAACATTTTTCTTTCTACTTATATAATTGGAAAATGCACATGCATCCCTGTAAATAAACATAAAACTGAAGAAGGGGCACATGTCATCTTGCATATGTTTTTCCATCTGGTCAACTACTGTGTACCAACAGATGAGTGGGTTCTGTGACGCCTGATACAGGTGAATTGGTAAGCAGACAGTTTTCTCTTACATTTTCTATTGGAACATAAAAGTGTTGAAGGGCCTCCTTCCATCGTTCCATCTGTTCAACTACCAACAAGTGAGTGGGAACAGGAATGCCTGATACATGGACATTGGTATGGGAAACGATCTTCTTTTGCATTTTCTACTGGATAATGGACATGTGCGCAAGCATGAGAATATGAGTCTGTTGAAGCAAAACAGGCCACTTTCTTTCAAATATCTTACCATAAGGTCAACTACCAACAGATGAGTGGCTTCGTTAATGGCTTATCCATGTACATTCGAAACCTGAACAAAGGGAGGTTGGAAGGGACAGACCTTTGTTTTCTTTAACGGTTTTGAAAATGTACATGCACCCCTGTAACAGAACGTAAATCTGTTGAAGGGTACATGCCACCTTCTTTCATGTGTATTCCATCAGGTCAACTACCAACAGATGTGAGGTTTCTGGAATGCCTGATCCATGTACACTGGGAAGCGGACAGTTATCAACAAACCAGTCTTGTGCCTATAAAATGAACTGAAAAGTGGTAGCCCCTGACCTCTTGTATGTAAGAATCTTGCGCTTATGTATTGCGTTTAAAGTCAAAGGAAACGAGACAGTTTTAAGTATGATAAAACTTTGAAACTTTAATGTCAAAACAAAACTTCTCTTAAGTTGAAAGTAACATACAGAGAGTCGACAAACACAGTCAATATCGTGCACTTCTGCCCAGTACTTGGATAACAGCTTCCAGTCTTCGTCCCGTACCCCTCACCAGACGTCGAAATCGCTCTATGGGCAGGTGCTGCCACTCTTCATGTAATGCTACTTTCGGTTCCCGCAAGTTCTGTGGAGGAGGATCCCTGCGTTGTATCAGGCGGTCCAAAATGTGTTCGAGGGGATTGAGATCTGGACCCATTGTTGGCCATGGGAGGTGAGTCAGTGCATTTTCTGAATTACCTGGGTCACAGCTCGTGAACGATGTGGCCGAGCTTTATCATCCATGAATATTGGCCTGGTTGCAAGTGGTTGATTGTCAAAATGGGGCACAACACCTGGATCAAGCACTGTAGCCCGTTAAATTGAGAAGATCCAGCTTGCTGTCAAATGAGAAGCAACCCCATACCATATTCGATCCACCTCCATATGGTGCCGTCGGCATGATGTTTCTAGATCTATAAGCTGTATCCGGACGCCAGCAAACTCTGACTCTGCCTTCCACAACACGCAGGAAAAAAATGCTCTAGTCTGGCAAATGGACTCCAAGACCTCGAGTTCAACCCTTGTTTCTAGACTAGACGTAACCGCTTGTGGCTGTCTGTCATTTGGGGTCGATTGATGACTCTTCTGGACCTCATTTCAGCGGGCTTCAGACAATTTCTCACTGTTTGGTGGCTGATCTGACGATGAGGAAGCCATTGGCGTTTCCGGGTTGCACTTGAAGCAAGGGGATGCCACCTTTTCAGCCTTAGCAATGCTTTGCCGTCACTGACTGTGGTTTTAAGTGGTGTGCCTAAAAGTTTGCGATTCTTTACGTCATTAGTCTGTGCATTTCTCACCAGGCGACTTATTGTGGAGTAATGACGCCCGGTTCTTCTACCAATCTCCTTGAAAGAAAGAGTGAGTCAGTTTGGTTTTACGCCGCTTTTAGCAATATTCCAGCAATATCACGGCGGGGGACACCAGAAATGGACTTTACACATTGTACCCATGTGTTGAAAGAAATACCTGCCCTATGGAGACCAATAATCTGCCACTTGACTACTTCTGGTATTCTTGCACCTGGCATTCTGCGTTACAATAGAATAAACGGCCAGAAAAACAGTTTTATAGGCGAC